AATACGGGGGGGGGGAGGGGTGCTCCACCTCTCCCCAACCCTTGGCACGGGCCATCGGATTGCCCCAAACGACGGTAACCCAACGTAATCCAGGTCATTGGCCTAAGAATACGGGGGGGGGGAGGGGTGCTCCACCTCTCCCCAACCCTTGGCACGGGCCATCGGATTGCCCCAAACGACGGTAACCCAACGTAATCCAGGTCATTGGCCTAAGAATACGGGGGGGGGGAGGGGTGCTCCACCTCTCCCCAACCCTTGGCACGGGCCATCCGATTGCCCCAAACGACGGTAACCCAACGTAATCCAGGTCATTGGCCTAAGAATACGGGGGGGGGAGGGGTGCTCCACCTCTCCCCAACCCTTGGCATGGGCCATCCGATTGCCCCAAACGATGGTAACCCAACGTAATCGGGGTCATTGGCCTAAGAATACAGGAGGGGAGGGGCTCCACCTCTCCCCAACCCTTGGCTCGGGGCATCCGGTTGCCCCAAACGACGGTAAGCCAACGTAATCCAGGTCATTGGCCTAAGAATGCCGGAGGGGAGGGGCTCCTTACCTCTCCCCAACCCCTGGCATGGTGGAACCGATTGCCCCAAACGACGGTAAGCCAACGTAATCGAGGTGGTTTTCCTAAGAATACTGCAGGGGAGGGGTGCTCTACCTCTCCCCGACCCTGGCATGGGTCATACGGTTGCCCAAATGACGGTAACCCAACGTAATCCGGGTCATTGGCCTAAGAATACCGGAGGGGAGGGGTGCTCTATCTTTCCCCAACCCTTGGCATGTGGGCATAGATTGCCCCAAACGACGGTAAGCCAACGTAATCCGGGTCACTGGCCTAAGAACAACGGAGGGGAGGAGTGCTCTACCTCTCCCCAACCCTTGCCACGGGGAAATCGATTGCCCCAAAACGACGGTAAGTCCAGACGTTAATCCAGGGTCGGATTGGGCCTAAGAGAATCCGGGGGGAAGGGGTGCTCCACCTCTCCCCGAACCTTTGGCAAGGGTCACTCGTTGCGCCAAACGACGGTAAGCGCCAACGTAATCCAGGTGGGTTAGCCCGTAACAGGTGGTACCTAAGGTTAGGGGAAGTGGCTTTTCACCTCTTCTCACTAATCTTTGGGTAGGACGGTTGCTTGAAAAGTCGGTAAGCCAAGGTAATCCGAGGCCTTTCCGTAGTAATAATTCGGGGAGAGGAGAACTGGCCCTCAAACCACAAGCAAGGCGGATTACCTAGGTATGAAGTCTAAGCTTGTCATGAGGTCCTATGAGGCACCGGCCCGGGCCACGGAGGGCGGCACTCTGTGATCCGGGGGGGAGCGTCCCGTGAGACGTGCGCATGGACTCTCTTCGGAGGGTTGGTGCGCACAGGCCCCAGCGGAGGGGGCGGGGAGCTCTCCAGGTGCGGAGGATCACCTGGGAAAATGGGGAGAGGAGGAACTGGCTCTCGAACCACAAGCAAGGCGGATTACCTAGGTATGAAGTCTAAGCTTGTCATGAGATCCTATGAGGCACCGGCCCGGAACACGGAGGGTGGCACTCTGTGATCCAGGGGGGAGCATCCCGTGAGACGTGCGCATGGACTCTCTTCGGAGGGTTGGTGTGCACAGACCCCAGCGGAGGGGGCGGGGAGCTTTCCAGGTGCGGAGGATCACCTGGAAAAATGGGGAGAGGAGGAACTGGCTCTCGAACCACAAGCAAGGCGGATTATCTAGGTATGAAGTCGAGCTTGTCATGAGGTCCTATGAGGCATCGGCCCGGGCCACAGAGGGCGGCACTCTGTGATCCGGGGGGAGCGTCCTGTGAGACGTGCGCATGGACTCTCCTCGGAGGGTTGGTGTGCACAGACCCCAGCGGAGGGGGCGGTAAGCTCTCCAGGTGCGGAGGATCGCCTGGTAAAATGGGGAGAGGAGGAACTGGCCCTCGAACCACAAGCAAGGTGGAATACCCAAGGAGGAAGGTTACTCTTTGGGTCCGCTCGGTCCCTACAAACTTCTTGACACTGGTAATATGCGGTCGGTTTCGTATCCCAATCCGCCTATGGCTAGGTGGCCCCCCCTCGTTGCGAGGCGGCGTCATTGACCCATGGGTTGGGGAGGGTAGGATTCAGGCTTATTGGAACCAGGGAAAAAGAGGAGAACCCAATCGGATCACTCCTCGCAAGGGGTCTGAACCAACTGGGTGCTCAACCACTGCCATAAAGAAGTTGATGTCGGTGCAACTTGCAAAACTCATATGCAGTGGTTGAGACGGTCGACTCTTTTTCAGGGGGAAAGCTCGAAGCTCACTTGAGGCCAAAAACCTGGAATGAGACCCATGTTGACTGTGGACGATCTCGGTCGGACGCAGGACGATGCACGGGTACCTGAACATGTTAGTAGGTCAAGGACGGTGTGTCCTAGAGTTTTCTTAACGTGGAATGACAATCGGAAGCATGGTGATGCCACGTGGGAGTTAATGCTTTCGTGGTGCATGGGAGAAATCGCCGGACTATTTCAGT